ATTAGACGCGCGCATTTGAAGTCATGCTCACTGAATGACTGAAAACACTGTGTGTACCTCGCATGATTGGTACGATCGATTTCAGGCTACTTGACTTTTGCCCCCCGACAAAACCAATCGTAACTAAAATCTTCTGACTTCGTCCAGAGATAAATCTTCTGTAACGTGGCTGTTAACCTCGGATCAAAGGTAAAGAATTTCCTAATCATTCAATTTAAAGTTTTCTTAACGTTTCTAAGTATGCTGCACGGGCAGCGGAGTTAGAACATCATACTGTAGGGGTGGATCAACGTTTAAGAATCATTATGAGTAAACCTATCGAAAATCATACTGTATCAAATAAGTTATCTATTGACTCCAAATGTTCTGAAAACAGAATCAGCCCGAAATGATCCTTAACATAAGAGTCCTTTAAGCATTATATGCGAAAAAGATGCAAGAGATGTCACTCGGGTGAATTAAGAAATGGGTCACGAGAAATTTTGGGAGGGTGTTCTGCTTCAAGTGGATTAAGCTTTTCGCTATTAACTTTCATTAAAGCAAATCAGTTTCATTTTTTACGTATGATAAACTTTGATCAAAAATAAAACACAAACAGCGGTGATAAAAATTGTGAGTTTTCGCATTTTTATAAACTTGACGTTTCGTATGCTATTCAACATATATTTTCAAAAGTGATCTAAAGTGACCGTTAAAGAAAATGACAAGACTATATATTCAAAAATTACAAGTGTTCTAATTACTTTTGTCGCATATCTTGTTAAGAATTTCATATCGCGTCTAGAAGCTTGTTCGGAAGCTGTTCTCTTTGCAACATTTGGTGATTCATTATGTGATTTATTAAAGAAAGCTAATGATTTGACTGTAAAGTTATGTGACAATGCATTGCAGATACTGAGCATCTCCGTATACATCAGGATTTAGCACTATAACAAGAACGTGCTTATAGCGGCAGCACGTCTCGCTTGCTTGGATATTAGATCGAGAAATGAGTAGGCGATTAATTCTACACAAAACAGAGTATGTAAGCAGCGTTGTGTCTCTAAACATTATCACGAACCCACTAGAATTACAGTAAGAACGTTGAAACGTCTAGCAAAACAAGCAGAACACTTAAGAAGTTTGACTACGATCGTATTCGCTTAAAAAAACTCCAGTCGTCTAAAAGGTATTGTTATGTGCTGGTTTGAAAACCCTTAAAAAACAAGACACAACTCATAGCAAAAACAAAAACATTGGCAACTGAAATTACATTTTTCTTTCATGCTGAAGGCGTTTTCATCAAGGAATGGTGAAGTTCAAATATGAAGCTAGGAAATATTTATCATTAATTGTTTTTTCTGTTTAATATCGACCAATGTCAGTCTTCCCTTTGCATGATTCACACCAACGAGCAAATTGTGGTAAATTTAAACTTTGAACAGACATAGAGACGAATACTGGAAAAAGCACTTGTCTTCATATTCAGTGGGCCTTGGTCACCCGGCTGCACGACATTTTCGTATCGCAATTTTAAAGCTTCTTCATTCAAGATGATTGGCTAAAACGTTTCCATAAATTAACTACGGACGTGATCGCAAAACTCAAAGGGTAAATTAAAAATACAGTTCGCGGTAGAGAGTAGAAATTACAACAATGAGATGTTTACTTTAATCAACACCTGTGAATTGGGAGATACTCCATACCATTGTCGTTAAAATAGTTTAAGTTACAAATAAAAACCATCAACTAAATGAATTCGATCGAGAACCCGGGAAACCAGCCAAAAATTGGCCAAAATAAGGGTAGAGGTCATTTCCTAAAAATCTTGATGAGGAATCAAGTGAAGCTTGAAATATCAAACCATGCGATATTTTAAAATGTAAACAAGCCTTTGTTGGGAAACTTTATTGAACATTCTTTTACGATAAAAGGGTTGTCGTGGAAGTCGCGAAAGTGTACCAAAATAGAAGGTATTTGTTCAAATTCATGAAAGGAGAAGGTTTATTGTTAATGAATATTTTATACATCGAACTTGTAAAGGTATGGTGAGCAATTAATGATTAGTTGAGTGTTCGTGATACCTGACATTACATCCCAATAAAATATCCGTTAGTTAACTTATCATACTGTAACCACTGAACAAATCCTCTTGATTTTAAGCATAAATCAAACTGGGTAAGAGTAAACTATATCAAGGCTAAAATTTACAATGCTTGCAAATATTTTAGTTTAAGTGAACTCAAATAAGGAACTTAAAAAGAGAAATGACACAAATTTTGACAGAGTTGCCAGCTTAATGTTCTTTTTACTGCCAGAAAATTGCCAGTATCCTTTTGGTCCTTTGTTTAGACTGCCAAAACGTGTTTGCCGGAACATATTTTCTTGTATACGATTTATTAACCCTATTTTCTTACGCGTGTTTAATGTTAATATATAGCTGTAAAGGCAGATCCCCAGTCCGGGTGCTTGTTCATTTTGCTACGCTTATCATCACGACAGATTTTGACTTTTCACATCT